TAGTTTGTTTTGAAAGCCACGTAAATACGCAATATAAAAGTATCTATCGAAATTAAGTTAATTTAAGTCAGTTTATATTATTCGAGAACAGGATGACTTATGAAAAAAAAATTACAACCGTTGTGAAAAATTTGTTACTAATAATCAAAAGGAAAACTCTCATTATTATGTATTTTAAGAGATGTGCAAGATATTTTTACCAGTTCTTAAATAAAAGATAATAATTTTTAACTAATAACTAATTTAATTTAATTTTCGGTACGATTGATACATTATAGAAAAGAACCTTTAAATCAGAAGGTAAATGACAGGTTTTCAAGAACTAAGAGTGTTAGGATTATAAGTACATTATTAAATTTATAGATTAATAACGAAAGGAGTACCAATGTAGGTCAGGATCGGCACATATGCGAAAAAGTAAATTCAATTCTCGCCGAAACCAATGAAACTGTAATTAGCACTTTCAAAATTTGATTTATCCCGCACTCGGTGATGAAGAAAAACACTGCGCGTAAATGTAAATTTTTGAAATTAAATAAATGAAAAGCATAAATGCAGGTACGATAAATTCTTCCCTGCACGGAAAAAAACCTCTCGGAAATATGAAAATGCCTAGCCCTGCGGAGGGACTTTTTAATTGAAGTAAAACATCTCCCTTCTTGGCCTTGTAATAAGCGCTATTTTAAAAAATCACAATTTAAGATTGACATTCTAGAAACCATCACAACGTTTTTATCGTTATAATTTTATAATTATAAATTTTAAGAATTACATAATAAAGTTTATATTGATGTATTTATTCCCCTTATGAATACCAGCAGCAATCATGAAGGCACTCAAACAGGGAAGAAAAACACAATTCGCATTACATTCGTATAGCGCCATCTATCGATGACATCATCTTCATCATCATTACAGCCCTTCACAAGTCCACTGCTGAACATAGGCCTCCCCCAAGGAATGCCACAAAGCACGGTCCTGAGCCACCTGCATCCATCGATTTCCTGCATATCTTACCAGGTCGTCACTCCATCTAGTGGGGGGGACGCCCTACACTTCGCCTACCGGTACGAGGCTGCCCATCGAGAACCTTTTTCCCCATCGGTTGTCGGTTCTTCGAGCTATATGGCCGGCCCATTGCCACTTCAGCTTACTAATCCCTTGGGCTATGTCGGTCACTCTGGTTCTACTGCGGATATCCTCATTTCTAAGTTTATCACGCAGAGAAACTCCGAGCATAGCCCTCTCCATAGCTCGCTGAGCGACCTTGAGCTTCCTTATCCAGCCAGCAGTGAAGGACCACGTCTCAGTTCCATATGTCATCACTGGCAACACGCACTGGTTGTACAGTCTCGTTTTCAAGTTTTGAGGTATAACTGACGAGAAGATGTGCCGTAATTTCCCAAACTCTGCCCAACCGAGTTGAATCCGTCGATTGACCTCTCGGTCGAAGTTGGACTTACCTAGTCGGACTATTTGTTCCAGGTAAACATACTCGTTAACAACTTCGAACTTAGTGCTCCCAACAACTACTGGCATAGGTGTGACATGGACATTAAACATGATCTTTGTTTTGTCCATGTTCATCTTAAGACCTATCCGTTCATTGTTGACCTATCCGTTCATTGTTGACCTATCCGTTCATTGTTGACCTATCAGGTCATTGAGCATAGTGCTTAGGTCCTCCAGCGATTCTACCATAAGGACTATATCGTCGGCAAATCGAAGGTGAGTGATGTACTCGCCATTGATGTTGATACCGTATCCTTTCTAGTCCAGAAGCTTGAAAACGTCTTCCAATGCAGCGGTGAAGAGTTTCGGGGATATGACGTCACCCTGTCTTACACCTCTCTGCAATTGGATTGGTTTCGTACTCTGGTTCTGTACTCGGATAGCCAATCGATGACAGTGGTTAACTATTGTACATTTTCTACCTAAGACACAGAATAAATAATAGCCTAAGATTACGTTAATCTTTGTGAGAAAAAATTATATTATTTTTATATTTGTTAACTGTATTCCGACATGATGTTAAACTGTGTCGTACACCTTCTGGTGTAGACGCCATTCAGAACTTAGGAAGAACTGATTAGTCCTACAAAGTTTGAATGGAACAGTTGGCATCAGTGCAGGATGTCAACTTAGGACGGCGGCGAAGGAACGTTTACTGCACACCCCCAAACCGTAATGATCAAACATAGGGGTTAAATGTACAATCCCCCAACCTCATGACACTTACAACCAAAAACATGCCCTTAGTGTTCGGCGGCTCCTGCGGAGGAGTCGCTAGTATGCGGAGCCTCCCTGGAGCCACGGGGCTTCAAAATCTCCGGGTGACGGATTCTAACTGCTGTATGATCAAGGCTAGTCAGAACTATTTCAATGTATTAACTTTAACTTCATGTTTTAACATTTAATGCACAAACTTTAGGAACTTAGCATCAAGATCGGATCAAAGAGGTTAAGCAATCTTAGATTTGCTGATGACATAATTCTCTTCGCGTCCTCGGCCAACGAACTGGTATAAATGCTCAACGAGGCTAGCTACTAACAGCTAGCCTGGAGGTTGGACTTCTGATGAATATGGAAAGACCAAGTTAATGACAAACCGTGTCAAGCACAGGATATATATGACGTGGAGGTTGAATAGGTTCATGAGTATGTTTATTTGGGCAAAATAGTCTCCTTCCAGACAAGGCAAGAAAAAGAAATCGCCCGATGAATAGGAAACGCCTGGAAAAGCTATTGGGCCTTAAAATATTTAATGAAGGGCAACGCACCAATATCCCTTAAATGCAAACTCATGGACATGTGCATCCACCCTATCTTGGCATATGGTGCTCAAACCTGGTCTCTCACCATACAGCAGAGATCCGATCTCAGGGTGTCTCAGCGAACAATAGAGCACAGCATGCTAGGAGTCAGACTAACCAGACCACATCAGAAATACCACTCTCCGCTTCAGAACCCAAATCACTGACGTCTCCCGTAAATCCTATAAACTAAAATGGGACTGGACCGGTCATGTCTGCCATATGTAAATCAGAAGAACTTTGGGCCAAAATTACAACTCGGTGGACTCCTATAAATGGCAGACGACCCCAAGGCAGACCCAGAAAACGATGGCGGGATGAACTGGACTCGTTTATGGAAGACTGGTCCTCCATAGAACAGAACCGTGAAAGGTGGAAAGAGGTTGGGAAGGCCTTTGCTCAGCAGTATATAGTCCATGTAATGTAAATAATTTTAGAAAATTATTTTTACATCATTTAATTCTTTTTCTGAGATTTCAATGAAATGCACTTAAATAGGTAGAATTTGTTCAATAGTGGCCTTGAGTGATGACTCAACGTCATCATTATATTACATAATTCTACCTATATTTCGTACCCATACCACATGAGTAAAGCAAGCGTACTGTACAGAAAGAGACTGCTTTAAGCAGGCTCGGTCAGTGCTCAAACTCAGGGTTGTGTAAAAAATTACAAGTTCAAATTATGTTTTTTAAAGAATAATTCGTATCAAATGAAATATAAAAAAGTGTAAATATGGTTTGATTTCTCAGCTTTTCGATGTGATAGTTATCAAATTGAGTTTTTAGAAGAAATGCTAACATTTTTCAGGAACTTATAATTAATAAGAAGTGATAGGCAGAAAGACGTTAACAATAGCATAAATTTCATTCACTGATTCCAAGTGTCTATAAAATCTTTAATAAAACTTCATGAACAATTAAAATCAGAAGAAATTAAATCAATTTATATTTACGAGACGTCTCAATCAAGATTGTCTCGAAAATTGTTTTGCAAAAGTCAGACACGCGGATGGTAAGAACCAACATGTCGACTAGTTAGTATTGCCTTCAATAAGATGTTTATAATCAATATTTTAGGGAAACCTCAAAATACACCCACACATAGTCGTAAGCGATTTTACGTGCACACATGCTTAAGTGTCGTTTCTTTTCGCGTAGTGTATATTTTCTTTGCCTCTATACAGTTTCCTTACTTATGTGTCCATATTACTTCAAAATATTAATCTTAACTTTTGATAGAATGAACTGAATTTATTAAAACAAAAAACTATATTATGTAACTCCAAGATACGCTTTATGATTTTCTTAATAATTATTTTGAAATAAATTAGTACATTATTCGTGATTCATCATAAACAAAGAAATAAACAGACAGGCAGAAAAACAATTCTAAAACTGATAGAAATGTATTTAATTAATTACATACTTATTAGTCCCTCTCAATCACTCTTGTTACAAAAGTATAAAATGTACAGACATCTGAAATTTATATTTTTATTATATTTAATAGAAGATGATCATATGCCCGTTAAAAGTATAAAGGGAAATCGGAATCATAATTCAAAAGCTGCAAAAAAGGTCTATGAACTTTGAACTTAAATGTATACATTTTGAACAATATTTTTTTTATGTATTTCTATATGCATATTAGTATGTATGTGTATATATTTTATGTTTATTTAAATTATATGTCTAGTTATTTTTAACAGTTTTATTTTATCATCTACTAACATTTATTAACGTATTTCTCCAAAGGTTTAATGGTAGAGAATGCCATGAGGCATTACGTCCGCCCACGGAGCAAATTTGCTCCATGCGTCCGCCCATTATAGCCCTTAGAATATGGTGTATTACAATGACTAATAATCATATCATGATTTTGTTTTTGTTAGTATCAACTGTAAATATTAGGAAACTAGGAAAGCACCAGCTATTTTATCGTAGTTGGTCTAGTACAAGACACACATATATTCTAAATATTCTTAGGTGTAATAGAAAAAAGTTAACCCAACAAGAACCGCAACAACGCACAACAAACTGAAATGTTAAATTATAGCTGTAATCATATAAATATTGAAAAAAAAAATTGATATAATGGCCAAACTACTGACAAAGAAACAACTTACTTACAATGTCCAGCAAAAAAATAATAATTTTTTTAAATTAATGTCACCTAGGTCTATGGTTGCGGTTTCTGTCATGGGGTGGCTGGCGACCACTCAGTCGCATGTCGTTACCCATTCTGCTCGTGCATTGGAGCTATAATCTTACACAAATTGCTGTGAAGACGAATCTTACACGAAGCTCTATATTCGAAATCGTAAGTAATTATAATTTATATACTATAATAAAGATATTTTATCATTCTTGTGTCCCGTGACTTAGTTAGCCCAATAGAATATTACGTCCAATCTGGTTGGCCAAACGGCAGGGTCGGGAAGGGACGCCCTAGACGTAGGTTTATCGACCAAATCGACGATACATTAAAAATGGGCCAGATTAGAAGTACCCTTAACCGACGAGCGTGTATGCGTAGATATATGGATGTAAAAGAGGCGAGAGTGGTGTGTCAGGATCGCGCCAAATGGAAGTCCGTAGTCTCTGCCTACCCCTCTGGGTGACAGGCGTGAGTGTTTATGTTATGTATTATGTATATGGTTCTGTCTCTCTCTGAACCCTCTCAGTATCTTACTGGAGGGCTACAAGAGAGTATATTTCAGCTTCAAAAAGGAGGGACAAAAGTGACCTACCTTTTCTATATGGATGATCTCAAGTTTTTCGCCTCCAGTCGCTCTCATCTTGTGAAATTGCTGAACGTCACTTGTGAGTTCAGCAATTCTATCAGAATGGAACTGCGGACGGATAAGTGTGCGGTCAACCATGTCGAAAGCAGTAGGGTTGGTAATTAAGCTATGCTCATAAACATAAGAGCCCTTTCCGAGGCTGAAACATACAGATACCTGGGTATGTTACAGAACATGGGTGTCGATGAGGAGGGTATGAAACAGTCATTTTGATATGTGTTTTATGTACGCTTGACCAAAATGTTTAACAGCCTTTTGTTGCGCGTAAATAAGACACACGCATATAACGGTTGGCTCATTCCTGTCCTCGTGTATGCCTTTTGCATACTCAAGTGGACTCAGGTTGAACTTAACGCCATATCCTTAGCCAACGAGCAGTGGCAGGATCTAGCAGTACGAGCATTCCCGACCAGGAGACTGCATGGAAGGAGAAGGAGCTCCTCGGAAGATTCTACAAGGCTCTTCATGAGACTTTCGTAGACACACTTGCCTCCCTCCACTGGCTATATTTCAGTGACCTCTTCGGGGAAACCGAGGGTTTTATCTGTGCAATACAGGATCAGGTTATTAAGACCAACAACTATCGGAGATACATCCTGAAGGATAGCATCGTCGACATTTGTCAAGCTTGTCGCCATCCCGGTGAGTCACTTAGGCATATCATCTCTGGTTGTTCAGCGTTTTCTAACCCTGAGTACTTGCACAAGCACAACCTAGTAGCCAGAATTTTACACCAGGAGCTCACTCTGAGGTACTAATCGGAAACTGCTTTATTATATGTACTTGCCGGAAGCATCAGGCTCTACTGATCGGGATATCATCACAAATAGGACTATTCTTGCGAATAAGCTTGATATTGTGCCAATGGACCGGGCCCAGTCAAGTATGTTTTTAGTCGACATTACCTTTCCGTATGATGAGAACCTTGTGAAAGCCGAAACAGATAAGCAAACAAAAATATCTGGACTTGGCTCACGAGGTGACCAACATATGGGGTGATCTGTCGACCGAAAATATTCGTGTAGTCGGCTCTGCGAGCGGGCTAATCCCGATCAGCCTCTCGGGTCATCTGAGGTGACTAGGACTTCGTGACGGACCGCTCCGGGCGCAAATGCAGGAGGAGGTGCTCTTTTTTACCGCCCGTATCGTCCGCCGGTTTCTTTTCTTTTCCCCGTAACCCACGGCCGTTGGTCTCCCCTGCTAAAGGTTTCCATCTGGTTGGGTTTTATTTATTTATGTATTATTTATTTCTTTGTATTAGTACACTTAATGTATATTTATCTTATATATTTATTCAGCCCAACAAGATGAGACTACTCTATGAATACCCCGTAATAATAATAATAATGTCCTCCCGACCGAACTTCGGTCACAGCGGTCAGCCTCGACGGAGACTAGCCAACGGTACTAGACAGGATTATAGTGCCAAATTGTATGCGCAAGCACAGGTGCACTCTCTATTCTCTTACTGTCAAAGTCCAATGGGACGGTAAAGCGACACGACCGGAGAGAAATCAGGTACATGACCAACGGATTTACGAGGGTAACAGCTTTATTTTCACGGTGGTGAGACACCGCTAACTTCCTGACTCCGGGTAGCTATTGAAAATTTCATGACGGAAAAACTCGGTAACTATTTTTTTGGCCCGATCTGGGATTCGAACCCGGGACCTTATGATCAGGGGTGGCACCTTGAGGTCCCTACCCTTACTACCACTAGACAAACGAGCCAGTTGAAATATAAGAAGGATCCGACTAAGCAGTGGCGGTATAAATATATCCACGTCATAGGTGCGATACATTTGGTACTGTGGTCGGCAATCCGCTTACGAAACGTAATAATTAAGCCAAATCCTTCCTACAACAGGAGAGGCCAACGCCCAGCATTTGACTTTTACGAACTAATGATGAAGAAAAACAGAAAATAATATTATTATTGTTTTTTTTTTTGCAGGGTGGACATTGCTTCGTGACTATATTCATGACTTATGTAACATCCCTGCCGCTGCATCTTCTCATCGAGTTGCCCATGATGCGGTTCTTCAAGGCGCTGTTTTCTTCCGCTTAAAGATATTTATTTCTCAATAAGACAATCGTCACTTACATGAGAACAATATTGTAAATAACATGAGAGAGAAATAATAAATTACATGAGAATAATATTATTTATTTGTATTATTTCCTGGTGAAACTGATGAGTCACGGCGCTTCCTTAGTCATATAAAAAAACAAAATTCATGTTTTCACATGACTTCTTTTGGGGCAGATAAAAATCATGGATTTTCACCAACTTTCACAGTACAAGGGCAAGTGCATCACAAAATAGTCTCGCTTTTACCACCGTACGAACGTCAAGCTCAATTTTTGCAACTTTACTTCATAGGAGATGATGAGGCAGAGGCTGAAAGACGGTGTGAAATTATTCAGGGAGTCGACCGAGCAAGTGTTTTAAAATTCAAAGGTCTTACATGATCACAACGTGTTGGTTCACGAATTTAAAATAGATATAATTTTGAGAATATGCCAGACGATACCTGCAAGGTGATTGTCCACGCGACCGCGTGCCGAGTGGACACCACGCGCACCGCTTCAATGCACTAGTTGTTACCGAGGTGGCGGCTGTAGTCACGGGCACCGACCCTACCGCGCCAAGGGACATCGTCCTACGTAAGTTCGATGACTCCCTCACAAGGATTGCAAGAAGGATATCATTTCAATATCCCCCAAACGAATCCAGCAACTGGGCAGCCGAATCCAAACAAAAAAGTATCATGCATGGATTACTATTCTTTTCACCTGATGTTCCGAGACCACGATTTCAACCTATTACTGAGGTGTAGGGTGCTTCTGTCTCAATTTTTAGTAGACATGTACGTTAAGATGGAGAGTGAGCGTCTAAGATTTATATCATTGAACCAAAGTAAGTTGCGTGCAGAAATTTATGTCCATTTGCAAGATTCCATTGCAAATGATGGTAGTGAAATCCGAACGACGTAGGACAAATGGTGATTCTCCCATCATCGTTTTTAAATAGTCCGCGATACCTCCATTAATATACCCAGGATGCGTTCACTTACGTCAGAAACTATGGGCAGTCGGACTTATTCATCACTGTCACGTGCAACCCAACCTGGACAGGGATTAAAGAAGAAATGATGATAGGGCAAAAACCAACGGACGACCACGACATCATAGCACGGGTTTTTAGAATTAAAGTTCAAAAACTGGTGGCCCTCCTCACTAAAGGGCATGCTTTTGGCGAGTCACAGTGCTTCATGTACTCAATGGAGTGGCAAAAGCGTGCCTTGCCACACGTGCACTTGCTGCAGTGGCTATAGAATAGAATAGAATATTTTTTTATTCAATATTGATTATTACATAATACTTATTGAAAGTCATTTTTTATTTACCACTGGTTCGGAAAATACCTCTGTCCTGGGAAGAACCAGGAAGAAACCCAGCGGGACTTTTTTTTTTCAAACATATTTCACTTAACAATAATTTTGTTTATACAATTTTTAAATGATTTTTCATTTCCAGCATGGTGGCGATCACCTTATTCCCAGGGGTTATTTTCATTCATGAAAAGAAGAAAACTAAGAACAAATGAAAACTAATGAAAAGAAGAGAACTAAAAGAAAAATTGCGGCCGGACCAAATTGATGATGTGATATCAGCAGAGTTGTCTGACCCTGAAGTGGATTAACAACTCTACGATACAATCGCTAAGAGCATGCTTAACGGTCCTTGGGGAAGCCTGAACCCTTCGTCCCCGTGCATGAAAGACGGAAAGTGTACCAAAAAGTATCCTCGGGGGCTGCTAAAAGAGATATAAACAAATGACAATGGTTATCCACTGTACAGACGAAGAGCGCCCGAAGATGGTGGACGTGCGGTTACAATTAAAATTAGAGGTACTGCCCAAGAAGTCGTAGTTGACAACGGATGGGTGGTCCCGTACTCACCGCTGCTTGCCAAAACTTTTAATGCCCATATTAATGTCGAGTTTTGTAACTCGGTTCTGGCCATTAAGTACATTTGTAAATACATAAACAAGGGCAGTGATCAGGCAATATTCAGCGTGCAGCAGCAGTGCAACGCTAATCTCGACCCGAGAGATGAAGTTCAGATGTTTAGAGCAGGTAGATATGTGAGCAGCAATGAAGCGGCATGGCGTATTTTAGGCTTGCCGCTTCACGAAAGGTACTGTGACACATCTTGTGGTGCACCTTCTCAATGGTGAGCGTGTTTATTTCACCGAGGCCAACATGCGCAAACGTTCGTGACCATACTAACGTGGCAGATAGGTCGTCACAGTAAACTAAGTAACCGACAATACGGCTTTGTTCCTCAGCGAGGGACAGAAGATGCACTGTACGACGCACTAGAGGTTGTCAAAAAATGCGTAAAGAACAAGGAGATGGCGGTAATCGTTTCGATCGATATATAGGGTGCATTCGATAACGCATGGTGGCCTGGAGTGATTTTTGAATTACAAAAGAAGGAAATCGATAAAGCAACCTTAAAACTTATAGATAGTTATCTCTCTGACAGATCTATTACACTTAGGTACGCCAACACAGAAATTGGAAGGAGCACAGATAAAGATTGCATACAAGGATCTATCTGAGGACCACTAATGTGGAACATCCTGCTGGATTCCCTGCTTCAAGAAGCTGAAACCTGGAATGTACACGTCCAGGCTTATGCCGACGATATTATATTAATAGGGACTGGGAAAACAGCATCAATAATAGAAAATAAAATCAACACAGCGCTAAATAAAATATCTAATTGGGGCTTCTCTAGTAAAATGAGCTTCGCGGCTCATAAAACGCAAGCTATTCTCATAACAAAGAAATATAAATATGAAATGCCTAACTTAAAGCTCAGTGATACCAATATAGTATTCAGTGAAAACCTGAAAATTCTCGGTTTGAACATCGACAGAAATTTAAATTTTGTAAAACATGTACAAGACACCACAGAAAAAGCTATTGTGCTATACAAAAAGGTTTCAAAAACAGCAAGAGCTCAATGGGGACTCAACTCGGAAATTCTTAGGACTATTTACATTACTGTCGTAGAGCCTACAATGTTATATGCGGCAGCTTGCTGGGGAAACAAAGCATCAAGAATACAGATACGCAAACGTCTTGATACTATAACGAGAGTATTCTGTATTATGATTTGTAAAGCTCATCGAACATCTTCGCTAAATTCCTGTGCCGCCTTAGCAAGAATTATACCACTAGACTTAAGAGCTCAAGAAGAACTAGACATATACGAAATAAAAAGAGGAAAGTCCATTGAGCAACTACCAGGGAGGAAACTTGCCATACCAATAAATCCTTTTAACCTTCCACATCCAGCGTTACGTGTCCCAGAGACTTACAATGACATATGTACAGAAAAGGATGTTGAAATGAAAGAAAACAACTAGCCTGCTATCTATACTGACTACTGACGGTAGTAAAATTGCAGGAAAGGTTGAGGCCGCTATAAGCTGCTGGGAAAATGGAACGGAAACCCACAAGGTAAAAATAAAATTAGGTAATCACTGCAGCGTTTTCCAGGCGGAACTAGTTGCAATATTGAAGGCACTTAGTATCATAAAAAGTAAACGGGGATTTAGTAAGTCTAATATACTGAGTGACTCTCGGTCGGCCCTGGAAAGCCTTTCAAATCCTAGCACTCTTAATCCTCTGGTAGCTGAAATTCTAGAAGATATAGAGAAAATACGTAACAACCAAGGCGAGGTGAAGTTCTTCTGGATGCTCATTGTGGAATTCCAGGGAATGAAAGAGCTGACGAATTGGCGAAATTATCAGCGCAGACGTCTAAGCAAGCGCCAACTTACGACTGTTTCCCACTGTCCTTTGCAAAGCGTCAAATCAGGGACAACTCAATTATAAGGTGGCAAGAAAGTTACAGCACATCCAACACAGGGTCTACGACAAGAAAATTCTTTCCTTGTATAAAAGAAGCATATATAACTATGTGTAAAGTAAAAATGAACAATTTCATTTCACAAATTCTGACAGGTCACGGAGGCTTTAAATCATACCTGTTTAGATTTAAATTGTCGCGAAGCCCCTACTGTAGCTGTGATAATCAAACATCGCAAACAATAGAGCATATGCTTTTAGACTGTCCGAAATTTGCTTATGCAAGACTCATGAGAGCAAAGTATGGGCTTTGCGCTAAAAGAAGAAACCTTATGTAAAGCTATTAACAGCAATGACAGTCGATTTCACTTTCTAAAATTCGCAAAACAAAGCACTGAAATTATTCTCAAAGAGAATAATTCAAAACACAAATAACAAATATTGATAATAATAATATGAGAAATAGTAATAAAAAAACTTATATACTCACATTTATAACCACAAAGTAATAAATGAACAAAGTAACGTAGTAATACTAGTAGAAATAAAAGGATTGTTTTAAATAGTAGAAGAAAAAGAAATGAATTAGTTTAATGGAAGTAGATTAAAACAGACTATGTATGTACTTAGAGTAAAATATTAATTTAATAGCGAAACACATAATAATTAGTAATAAGTTCAACTATATTATAATATGTGCAAAAGCATGTGTAAAAAATGTTTCCTATACTATTATTAACAAATAACAAGGGAAAAAAAAGAAAAAAAATACTCACATCAAGATACAGAAAATATGTAAAGTTATGTCAATGTAATTGTACAGTAAAAATAGTTGATTGGAAAAAAAACATGCCCAAACGCGTATCGATAACGCCTAAGACCACTCTTACCACATTTTTCCACCTATGCCAAACAGATGACTTTGCCAGAACTTTGCTCTACGCGGAAGTGCCAAAATATTACAAGTGGAATTCAACACGAAAGGAACGGAAGCGTCGTGTGCTGAGCACCCCCGTCGAAGGCTGGCATGGTGTAAAAGCGTCAGATGCCTTGGGCAGAATTTACACTGTGCACGTAACACAATTTGAGTGTTATTGTTTACGGTTATTGCTAACCCGCGTCAGGAGCCCATTAGTTTTTAAGCCGTCAAATCAGTCGACAGACAAGAAAAAGCCACGTTTCGGGAAGCGTGTGAGGCGATGGGACTTCTTGAAAATGACGGCCACTGGGATCATACAATGGAGGACACCGTGTTGTGCCAGTCAGTGGCTAAGTTAAGAGAGCTGTGGGAAAAATATAAAGTGACTTTTTCGGAAGATATGCGCTCAAATCAATCGAGAACAAAGTTTTCGGAATGGTGGGAAAACTGTAGTCAGATTTTGGCATGCCCGCCCCACAACGAACAAGCGAATTGTCCACTAATTTGCTTAGGGAGTTAAATTACGACACCGCTACCTTGGGGGCTCAAGTAGCACAAACTGAACCCCAACTCTTACCAGAGCAAAAACAAATTTTTAATAAAGTGTGAATTGTATGGAGAGCGGAGAAGGTGGTTTATATTTTGTAGACGCACCAGGAGACACAGGCAAAATATTCCTGTTGAATTTACTGTTAGCGCAGTTGCGCAAGGACAAGAATGTCGCGCTAGCTGTTGCATCTTCTGGTAAAGCCGCGACCTTGCTAAGTGGAGGAAGAACTGCTCACTACTTGAAATATAAGCAAGAGCAGTAAACGTGGCACTCTATTGCAGAAGTGCAAATGAATCGTGTGGGATGAGTACACGATGTCACACAAGCGTGCGATCTAGGCGTTTGATCGTAGCTTGCGAGATATCCGCGGAAACCGCGTGTTGATGGGTGGAGTAGTCGTCTTGCTTGCAGGCGATTTCCGGCAGACGTTACCGGTTATTGAGCGAGGTACTACGGCAAATGAGATCAACACGTGCCTTAAGGCTTCGCCGTTGTGGGCAAAAGTAGAGAGAATGCATCTCACAACAAATATGAGAGTACAGCTCTACAATGATCATGAGTCTGGTGTTTTTGCTCAAAACCTCATCGATATTGGCGAAGGCCACATGGCAACGGATGAGGTCAGTCTGATAAAATTTGAGACCCGCTTTTGCAATAATGTAAGCTCCGAAGATAACCTAATCACTGAGGTTTTCCCAAACTTACAACAAAACATCTTCAATGAAGAATGGTTATGTGAAAGAGCAATTATGGCGCCTAAGAATGAATCGGTGGAAAAATCAATAAAAAAATTCTTGATTTAGTGAATGGTGAGGTCACGACATATACTTCCATCGATACAGTTATGGCAAGTAACGACTGAACTACATATCCAGTAGAGTTTTTAAATACATTGGAGCTGTCGGGGTGCCGTCCCATAAGTTAAAGCTAAAAGTTGGAGTGCCTGCTATACTGATGAGAAACATGGATGCACCAAGATTATGTAATGGCACCAGGTTACGAATCACTGAGTTAAGAAAGCACATTGTGGTAGCTACAATCATCACTGGCGGGGCGAAAGGCGAAACGGTTTTGATCCCACGAATCCCTATCATTCCAACAAACTTGCATTTCCAGTTCAAACGCTTACAGTTCAACAGTAACAGTGATAGAGCCAAGCGGTAGCTTTTGCTGTCGCACGGATGGGCCAGCTCGAACCGGGATGGTATCACGATCTCACAGAATACTAGCGTGAAGTAGAGGTTTACCTCTGCGTTGCGCTTGGTGAGTGCAAGTGGCCGGAGGCCCAATTCCCCCCCCCCCCCCCCACATCAACATGGTAGTGGAATTAAATTAAAGACTACCCCAGGAGAGTACCAGCACCCCTGGAGAATCCCTCGCTGAGCATCCACGACCAAACAATTTCACTCCTGAGCGTGGAGCTCAGGCTGCCCTGCGTATTCTAGGGGGGGGGGGGGGCAAAATTCCGCTCGCGACTAATGCTGCTCGGGGTAAGCGGAGCAATACAACCAAGGCGACCCCTGTCACGCTATCCGTGAATTTTTGCAACATCAGGGGACAACATTTAACAGTGGTAGAGCCACGCGGCATCTTTTGCTGTCGCATGGATGGGCCGGCTCGAACCGGGGTGGTACCACGACCTCACAGAATACACACTCTGCGTTTCGCTTGGTGAGTGCAGGTGGCCGAAGGCCCTTTTTACTGGAAATGAGGCATTTCATCTTAGTCCTCACGGGTGACAACGCATCTGCATTTTGATTCGCAAACGAGGATAGATGTAGATGTCTATGGGCCGCAGCAACCACTTACCATCAGGTGGACTGTGTGCTCGTTTGTCACTCTTATTCTAAAAAAAAATAATTCATTCCAACCTTAACGCTGTCCATTACCAGCTAGAGACGGCGAAGCCGGCCTTGCTCTTTTTACCCGAGACTCAGGTGTGCTCTCCGGCTGATACAACATATCTCTCATACCCGGGGTACAAATTGGAACACTCCTTTGTGCCCCGGGCTGGAGTTTGCGTATACGTCAGAGAGGACATCTGGCGATCTGGGAGGCCATGCACAAGGCCCGTTACGACCGACCCAGCGACCAGGGTATTCTCTGTTTAAATAATCCTTAACTTGGCGAGTATAGTGCGCCGGCGCCCCGTCATGCTGGTAATACGTATTGCGTAGAGATGCAAGTGGTATGTCCTCTAACAACTCTGGCAGTGTGTCGGTGAGAAAACTATGATAGCTTTCACCGTTTAATCTTTCTATGAAGACCGGGCCCAGTAACGTTGTATTAATAACGCCTGCCCACACATCGACACTAAACCGGTGTAGCGTAGCTCGGTGTACGTGAGTTGAGAAATCGCCTTGAATATTCACGGCAGGCTTCACTAACTTTATCATTGCAAATTGCTAAAATTCGCACCATTTCGGTATACTCGACATTTGAGTATCGGTACGCTATCGCGTAACAACGCGTAACGTTCGCGATATTAATCTCATAACGGAAGGAGAAACGTCGCGGGCGCACCAAAGACGACTGACGACATAGGTAATTAGGTCAAGTTCAAATGAGCGAGCGCCGCCTCCTACACCCCTCCACCCCAACCCCGCCACGCGCTGTATTTTGCTATTTAGGACTACTGCCGTTTAGAAGGTCCAATTAAAATATTTTTGTATGAAAATAAAAATTGAAGAAATATATTTTTTTTTTCTTACAGATGTTGTTCTTATGATGTAAATAATATATTCCCAAAAGGTCTTCAGTAAATTAAAAATTACCCTGTATAGGTACATGATAGAGGTAAATACGGGTAAAATACTAGGAGTTTCATTTCATTCATACTAACATCTAGGAGTTTCATTTGTTCCATGCATTTTATTGCTTTATCTGATATTTTTTAAACCAAAGGCGGACTGCGCAAGATTTGAAATAGGATTTTAAAGCGACAAAACTAACTTCGGCAGTTATTTATGTACCTACGTAATTACGTGAGTATTTACACGATATTTTTTAAAAACCAATGGATGTCATTAAAATTATATATTGACACTAGCTTTCCGCCCCGCGGTTTCACCCGCGACATATTGATT